TCTGCTAGTCCAAATGTTGAAATGAATCCAGATGTTACTAAGAATGTTGAGACACCGGATGACAACATTCAGAAATCATCTGAAAATCTTGATGATCTCCAGAACCCTTCAGAGAAGGATGTTGAACCCCCGGTTATTGATGTGGATGAAGAATACTCTGACAATGACCTAATTGCAAATATCAACCCTAGCATAGCTAGAAGGATGATGAACATAAAAGGAAAACAGGATGCTGCAAAATGTCTGACCAAAGAGAAGACTGCTGATGTTGTTCATAAGAAAACCAGGCCTGAAGGCAAGACTGGTGTAGAAACTGTGAAGACTGGATTGTCCAAAGGGAAGGTGAAAACCCGAGTACCTGCTGGTAGTCTCTCAAAGCCTGTGAGACAACCAATAGCAAAGAAAAGGAAAGAGCCTGAACCTTCTGATTCTGATGAGGAATCAGAATTTGAAGTTGATGCTGAAGATATTCCTCTCAGAAGGAAACTCCCATCAAGCAAAATGGCTAAAGTTCCTGAAGTCCCCACTGACAACATTTCTTTTCACCACCCTGAAAATGCTAACAGATGGAAGTATGTTTGTTTGAAAAGAATAGCCTTGGAAAGAGAACTGAACAATGGTGCCATGGAATGTAAGGAGATCATGGACCTAATCAAAACTGCTGGTCTAATGAATACTGTGGTAAAGTTTACCAATTGCTATGAAAATCTTGTCAAAGAATTCATAGTGAATTTATCTGATGGATGTGTTGATGGAAGGTCAGCTGACTTTAAGTGTGTCTATGTGAGAGGAAGAAAGGTAAATTTCTCTCCCTCTGAAATAAACAAATTCCTTAGAAGACCAGATGAGGCTTGCCCTGAACTAGAGGTTACTGACAACCAAGTATGCCAAACCATCACTACAAATCAAGTCAAGAGTTGGCCCTTAAAAGGCAAGCTGAATGCAAGCAAGCTAAGCATGAAATTTGCCATCCTGCACAAGATTGGTGCAACCAACTGGGTTCCTACCAACCATAAATCAACCATCTCCACAGGATTGGGAAGATTCATTTATGCTGTTGGAACCAGGACAGAATTTGACTATGGCAGGTATATCTTTTATCAGACTTTAAAACATGCTGGAAGCTATGCTGTTAAAGGCCTTATTGCCTTTCCCTCCCTCCTATGTGGTATTGTCCTTGCTCAGTATCCTGACATTCTAGTGGAAAGAGATACTGTATGCAAAAGAGCCCCTGCTCTTGGGTTTCACTATAAGCTATTTCAGGGAACTCATGTTCCTGACATTGTCATGACATCAGCTGAGACATCAACTGTCAAAACTCAGTCCAAGAAATCTGATGCTATAGCTGTGCTGAAGGAAACCTGCAAAGAGCTGGAGACAAGGAAAAGGACTCTTGAGAACCTAATTGCTAGACTAGAACAGGAGGAGACTGAAGGACAAAGAAGGGAAGAGGATGCTGCTGAAGATCAGCTTAATGCTGAAGATAGTGCCTCCTCTGAAGATGATAGTACTTGAAGATCAGTGGGGTTGTCAAGCTTGCTGCTGGTACCTGTTGCTGCAAGTGATTTCAGATTTATTGTTGTTTTTATTATTCATTTTGGATGACTGTATAACCTAAAAGTACATGTATCTTTGGCCTATTTATGGCTAAAGAGGGGGAGAAGATTTTGTGTTAATTATACTTGGTAGACATAATTTTTCTGCAGACATATTATTTCTGCTGCTCTCTAATCTCTGATTGTTTAGGGGTTTTAGCCAAAAATTTGCCAAAGGGGGAGTTTGTAAGTGTTTGGTTATTGGCATGTATTTTTGGTAAAACTAGGTGTGTGAATGTCATGACTGATGTCATAACATTTTGGGTTACTAGGTACTTTCTGCAGAAAAAGAATGGCATACAGTAGCTGCTCATTATGAGTGTGTATCTGATCACTATGCAATGATCACTTTTATTACATTCTACCAAAATCAGTAAACAGGATTCTTTTTGTCATAACCAATGTTAAGACATTCTGTACTGATCTAACAGTTAGGCAGTTTTGTTAATTCTGAGATTTTTCAGGAATATGGCTCATACATTCCAGAATAGAATCTCACGTGGACTTTAGGTTAACTTGGCTTAATCCTAATCTGGTTGATAAAGTCTTATGACCAAGTCTTGAGGTTAACCCTAATTAACCCTAGCTATTTTCGTGGAAGCCCTAATTGAAGAACAGCTGCATATATGTTCAACAGGAAGGTTGTTAGTGAACTTAACTTTTTGACAGAAGATCAACAAGGGGCTGTATAGTTTTAACTACTGTAATCCAAGCAAGTATCATTGTGATAAGTGACTTGGAGTAGGTTTTGATTGTAAGGGTTGTGTATCACTCAAAGCTTTGAAGCACGAGTGTTTGTATCACTTGATTAAAGCTTTGAAGCAAGGTCAAGTTAGGTTTATGTATCACTCAAAGCTTTGAAGCACGAGTGTTTGTGTTACTTGATTAAAAGCTATGAAGCATAGTCAAGTGTATGTTCTGAAGAGTGTCTTCATAATTTCATTAGTCAATTGTTTAGTATCACTGCTGTGATTGAGGGGGAGTGAGTAGGAACTCAGGTTTAAGTTGAACTTAGATTGAAGTTGCATTGGGTAGGTCTTAAGTGAAGGAGATAAACTGGTTGGTTTATTCCTGAATTAATATCTCTTATAGTGAATTTCCTCCCTGGCTTGGTAGCCCCCAGAGTAGGTGTTGTTTCACACTAAACTGGGTAAACAATTGACTGTGTTCTTTACTGCTTTTTGATTTACTGTCTTATAGAAAGTCAGATACGGTGTCATAACATTCACTGTGACATTGAGTATCTGCTGCCAGAATTTCAGGTAAAATTTGTTTGCTTTTATAGTGAAATCTGATTAGTCGATCCCTCGATTATATCGAAGAAATGAAGGGTTAGTTCTTTTAGTTTACAATTGTAATTAAAAACATAAACTTCAAAAGTTGGGATTCGAAGTGTGTCCTGATTAATTTTATCCGTCAGATATATTAGAAACAGAGGTAAGTTGTTACTTTTATTATTATAAAAAAAATAAAACATGGCGTGCCTAGACTTAATACCTCATTTTTTTTCTGGTTGAGGTGAAAGTTTCGTCATGAAGTATATTATTTGTTGTAGTGATTACTAGTCTTCCAAATGATAATTTGGTTGCTTGTAGGATCGACTAGAATAATCCTAAGACATATGTGTATAAAATTTCCTTAAATTGTTGTAATTTCTGTTTGAACATGAAGATTTCGATGTGAAATGAAACCTCAACAGAATATGAAAACGATTTGTAAAGAGAAAATAAATGTAAAAGACTTCGACACAATGATAAAAATGCAGAAAAATAACTTAAGGAACATAACTTTGCATTAAATGAAAATGGTGTTTCATATGTACATTTCACTCTATTTTGACTCTTTTTACAATTCGCTAGATACTTTGAGTAGTATGAGTTTTGTATACAATTGAACACACGAAAATCTAATACTAGAACCCCCTATTTATATTAAAATCGAAATAACTGTCTCAAACGGTCTTTTCTTCAGAATCTGGCACGCTGTCGCTTGCATGTGTCTTGTCTTCGATTTACTTCCACGCGTCCTCAGAAGTGGATAAGGCCGAAAAAAAGTTACTTCAGCCTATTTTCGAATTTCAAACTTTCGTGGTCGAAATAATGTCCAAAATAAATCAGATTCACTAAGTCTCGAAATACTGATATGCATGCAGGAACCTCTATATTTCTTCAAAACTTATATGTCGAAAACAACTTTAATAAACTTGTCGAAAAACACATAATATGTCTAAAGTTATCTCAATTATTTTTTAATCACCTTGAAAAGGACAACCCGTTGAAAAATCCAACTAACATAGAGAAAAAGTGGAAAATCTTAAACAACTCAACAACGGCTGACACACACACTCTCTCTCTCCTAAAATCACCTCAAACATCAAAATTCCTTATCTTTTCTTTTGTGATCTTTCGTGATCAACTTCAAGGAGATTAATCAAACGATGTTTCATCAGGAACATTATTTAAATTTTATTATTTCTATTTTTATTCACATATAATTTTTGATAAATATTTTTCATGACAATTATATTTTTAACCAGAAATTTTATATTAAATAGATCAGTTTAATTTGATTAATTAAATAATAATTCTAACATATTAATTTGTCACGACCCAAAAATTCTAACATTTATAGCAATCATATGAGTGAATTAGCCAAAAACATTTTCACTAAAAACTTTAGAGCTATTACTCAAACTTGATAAACCAACAATTGTAAAGTAATGTATTGAGAAAGAGAATACAATATACCTAAATAGAAAAGGAAGAGCTACCATGCAAGTAATGATAATAAAATAAAGAGTCGCAGTCAGGTAGGGAGTATTTTAATCTCATCCTGGTAAGATGATCAATAATTAAACCATACATGACACATATCGTTGTCTCATTGTCCTATTCATAGAATAAATGACAAAAAATTAGACGAGAACTAAATGAAAGGTTTTGGCACAACCAATGTCCTAAACATGACGTGATTAGTAAACTAATCACACTTAACTAATCCTCCACCCCCTTAATAGCAACCTATACTAATGAATAATAACATAAATTCTACGTGTAAGAAACAAAGATAAAGACATAACCAAAACAAAAACGGAGCACCCAAAGATGATAGGAGTAATATGATATATAATAATACCCAAACTTTTCTGGGCTACAAAGTCATAGCCCTTTCTGTCTCTTTATTTATCTCTTTCTTTTCTCATATTTTGTTTTCCTTATCAAAATTTTCTCTCTCTCACCAAACACTGAAACTAAACACTCCTTTTCTGACATACCTTCTGTACAAACTTTCCTTGTCTTTCTCTCTCATTTTTGTCACGTTTCTCCCAAAAGTTTCCTCCAAATTTTCTCCCTATTTCGATTCTCTCAACCAAATTTTCTCCCTCATTATCACTTCTTATCGATCATGCTCCAAAGCTTGGTCCCTCGACCCCCTCTCTCTTCTGAACCTAATATGAACACAAAACGCTCTGAACGCGAACACGACGACGGCGACTCCTCCCTTCAACAACCATCTTTCAAAAGACCTAACTACTCCGGCGAGAAAACCGTGGCGGAAGGTGAAACACACGACGAGGAGCAAGCGTTTGAGCCTCAGAATGAAGGCGAATCCATAGGTTTGAAACTCCTAGGGCTATTACTCCGATGCGCTGAGTGCGTCGCTACGGATAACCTCGACTTTGCTAATGATCTCTTACCGGAGATTACCGAGCTTTCCTCACCGTTCGGGAGTTCGCCAGAGCGAGTTGGCGCGTACTTCGCACAGGCTCTACAAGCGCGAGTGGTGAGTTCTTGCCTTGGTAGTTACTCGCCGTTAACGGCTAAATCGGTAACCCTAACTCAGTCGCAGAGAATCTTCAACGCGTTTCAATCCTACAACTCGGTTTCACCGCTGGTGAAATTCTCGCACTTCACTGCTAATCAAGCTATCTTCCAAGCTGTAGACGGTGAGGATCGTGTTCATATCATTGACCTTGATATCATGCAAGGACTTCAATGGCCAGGATTGTTTCATATTCTCGCTTCACGATCCAGGAAGATCCGTTCAGTGAGAATCACCGGCTTCGGATCTTCATCGGAGCTTCTAGAATCAACGGGAAGAAGACTCGCCGATTTCGCGAGTTCGCTCGGACTTCCGTTTGAGTTTCATCCGGTGGAAGGTAAAATCGGAAGCGTAACAGAACCGAGTCAACTCGGTGTTAGACCAAACGAAGCCATCGTGGTTCACTGGATGCACCATTGCTTGTACGATATAACCGGAAGCGATTTAGGGACGTTGAGATTGCTGACTCAGCTTAGGCCAAAGCTAATCACGACCGTTGAGCAGGATCTCAGCCACGCTGGTAGCTTCCTGGCGAGGTTTGTGGAGGCTTTGCATTATTACAGCGCGTTGTTCGACGCGCTGGGGGATGGTTTGGGTGCGGACAGTGTGGAGAGGCATATGGTGGAGCAGCAGCTGTTGGGGTGTGAGATAAGGAACATTATCGCCGTGGGAGGGCCCAAGAGGACTGGCGAGGTGAAAGTTGAGAGATGGGGGGATGAGTTGAAACGGGCCGGGTTTCGACCCGTATCGCTTCGGGGCAACCCGGCTGCACAAGCCAGTTTGTTGTTGGGGATGTTTCCTTGGAGAGGGTATACACTTGTGGAGGAGAATGGTTCTTTGAAGCTTGGATGGAAGGATCTTTCTCTTTTGATTGCGTCTGCTTGGCAACCGTCTGATTTGATTACTTACACTTGATGATGATGATCATGATGATGGTGATGTTTATAGTTTGTGTCTTTGGTGGGGAGCAACTGTTGATGATAAGTTTCTCTCATGCCTCTGCAAAGCTTGTTATGTTTAAACTCCAAGAAAGGACATATTTGGCAGAGAAGAGAATCTTTTATATCAGTCAAGTTACTTATAAGTGAGAAATCATTCACATTCACATTATCAACTGTGGTTCCTTATAATTTTTTAAATTTTTGTAATGGTTAATTTATTGATTGAATTATAGAGGAAGCTAATTGTTTGTGTTTGTGGGAACCAATGGGGGAAGGGTGTCTTAAGTAAATAATAAATTTAATTGATTTTAATGATAGACTACTACTGTATTTATTAAATTATTTTTATTAAAGCAAAATATAATTAGAAAAAATGTATTAAGAAAATTGCATTAATATTTTGAAATATTATTATTCAAAGATATAAACAAATGTAACACTACTTTTTAGAAGATCAATATTTTCATAAGGTTTACCAGGAGTGTTGAAATAATGATGATTGGATATGAAACACGAGTAGCTATAGTTTGAGAAGAGTAATGATTTTGGGATCAATAAACTAATGATAGTTCTACACGGATGACATACTAACAATAACGAATGACGTCTTTTACATGTCAGAGGTTTCGTGGAAAATTTGCCTATCGTAAGTCGTAACAATGGTATGAGCTGGCATACGAATGGACTATTGTAACCTATGTTTGGTTTCACGATAAGATCATTTACTTGTAAGTTGTATCAAGGCAATTGTCACCCTAAATTTATCACTTTTTCCGGTGCCCATCTTCTCCAAGTTTCCAACAGCTATCTTTCCTAGAGAATGCTACGGCAAGCATAGTTACTAGGTTGGTAGCCAGCATTTGCTTCTGTTAGAGATCCGTTATGATAGTAACTACTCTTAATATTTGCCTAATCAATGAGAACTCATCAATGACAATCTTCAACATTGCTTTGCAAAAAGAGCCTTGTTGAAATCTTCATTTGCCTCGAAAACTCATACGTCTTTGATATGTGACCCTCCTTTTGATCTACCCTAAAGTTAATCAACATAGTTTCACTATCCTTGTAGGAGTAGCAATCAATTGGGAATTTTAAACAATTCATGACAAAATTAGAAATAGTTTGAGCTATGATTTTTATCAAAATCTTCTTAAAATACAAAGAAAATTGTCAAAATTCTTAAAGTACAAAGTCATCGACGGAAGACATATTGAGTGCAAATATATATATATATATATATATATATATATATATATATATATATATATATATATATATATATATATATTGTTCTGGACTGAGTCAACACTTGTCCCACTATTGGAGAGGTTCAATCCAGCGCTTTTGTCCAAGGCTCAAAGGCATGCAGTCCAAGCTAGAGATTGTTGGGCATTTCTCCACGTGTCCGTTAGGAAGATGTTGCCCACGTGTCCATATCGTCATCTTACTGTCCTCAGAGAATCACGGGTCCAACACCTGTTTTCTTGGAGCAGTTGACTAAGAAGGAGGCCACATGCTGGACTCCATACACACGTAAGTCCTGTCAGTCTTCATTGTTGGGTCTCATCGCGGTCCAACATTGAAGACCTTGACTCAGCACTAGGGGCTATAAATACCCTCTCACTTGAGAGAGTCAGGTATTGATTCATCCACACTCATACTCACTTACTTTTGCATTAGCTCTGAACCTCACTTTGACATCAGAGTATCTTGCAGGTACCCCTACTTCACCTTTCACTGTTGTTCAGCTTGAAGCTAGCGCCTTTGACAATCCCTTCTAGTCAGGTACAATCAGTGGCGCCGTTTATGGGAAACCACTTTCCCCGTCTCCATCTCAAGACTAAAGCAACCCTCCAACAAACTCCGTGATTGTCATGGCCGACCTAGCTGTCAACAACAACCAAAACGCTCATCTCGTCGACCTCAACAATAACGTCAGGAACGACATCGACATGGCCGATCTCGAGCAGAATTATAGAGATGAGTTGTCCGCCTCATCGTCATCCCACTCTCGACGGCACGAGGATGTCCATCCCCCTCAGAACTATGAACCAAATGCTTTTAAAGAGGTCCCCGCGGGCGCTGATGCCACGACTAGAGTTGTGTTCGCAGCCATCAACCAGACAAACTACCTGATCTTCTCACAGGGTGAGTGACTAAGGGTGCTCGTACAGACTCGCCGGACCCCTAGAAGACACAGAAGACCTGACACTCCTTTTCCCCGTCACAATGAAGATCGTCCTCTATCTCTCCCGCGGAGACACATACAGGACAGATTGTGAAGCCTTTCTCCCCGACGAACGGGGTGAGGCCCCGCATTGGAGAGGACGCTTCCCGAAGCCACCTAGAGGCGCGACCATACCCCCCGCGCAGGGAACGACGATCCCTTGAAAATAGAAATAGAGGAAACGGGGAAACCCAACCTCGACTAAGGGATCTTCCCCGCAGCCAAGGTCGTCACCACGACCTCCATTACAATTGGTCCCCATCCCACTCCCCGTACAAAAGCGACGAAGACGACCCCCGCGGTCTCTTATCCCAAGCAATCATGGAGGCACCCATTCCTAGGGGAATGGAGAAACCTCCCCAACTAAAAGAATACGACGACATTGTAGATCCAGTCGACCATATCGACGGGTTCGAGGCAACGCTCCATTACCATAACATCGGGGGGCCGATCAAGTGTCGGTTGTTTCCCACGACCTTGAGAAAAACTATGATGGACTGGTACAAGAACCTCACCCCAGGGTTGATCACCTCTTAGAGAAACCTTAAGAACCAGTTCATCAGCTCCTTTACCGCGTCTCGTCGACATCCAAAGACTGAGGCCGCCCTTGAGGCTATCGTGCAGAGAAGCGATGAGACCCTCAAGGAGTACATTGATCGGTTCAACCGCGAGGCCATTCAGGTCTCGTGCATCGATCATATAAAAAGATACCTGCTCGAGAGAGGACTCCTCCCAGGCACTGAGTTCAGAAAGGCCATCGACATTGAGCCATCCCGGTCTTTCAACGCTCTCCTCGAAAAGCCAGGGCCTATGTGGACTACGAGGAGAAGGAAGTGGCCAACCGAGCTTGCGACTCAAGGAATCATGGACCAACCAATTCCCCGCGACACCAGGACGCAGGCCCTTCTCGATGGACGAGCGAGAAGAGAAGGAATGATAAATCGCACGATCCCCGCGAGCACAGGGGACCAGCAGGGTGATTCACGGAGTAAACTCCATTAACCGCTTCCCGCGAGCGCATCTTGACGGAGTGCTCCAATACTGACTTCAAGGACGGCGGTGTCAAACGTCCTCGACCTGCTCATGCGAAACCCGGGGCTGACAGGACCAAATACTGTCAGTACCATCGGAGTCACGGGCACCTGACAGAAGACTGCGTCCACCTCAAGAATGCCATTAATACCCTCATCAAAGGTGGCAGACTCGGGCAGTACCGATGCAATGGCGCCCCTCGCCGAGACACATGTAAGGTGAAATAAGTCGAGGAAGAAACCCGACCATCAGATGAGTCAGGCCTCATCCAGATAGCTTTCTCCGTGACAAGGTCAGAGGACTTCCACGTCCCCGACAACTACGAGAATGAACCTTTGTCCATGCATAGCAGATGTGAGAAATTTCCCTCTGCTATGGTCATAATTGGCGGGGGGATTCAACGACCTCTCCATAAACTCTGAAGAGGAAGCTCGACGAGGTTGTGGATGCATCCCTAACCCAAGCGGTGACACTCGAGAGGTTCAAAGGAAAATCTGAATCGATCACTTTCTACCTGGAGGAGTTGCTCGGTGGGTCCCCTAACTCGAGCATCCCTCTATTGGCGAGAGCAAGGATGGTTAACTTTGACGTGCACCGTATTTTGGTCGAAGAGGGGAGTTCTGTCAACGTCATGTACAGTCATCTGTTCCGAACCTTACAGCTCGACGACACCCACCTGTCACCATACGTGGGGTCCGACCTACAAGGATTCAACGGCTCGACCTCTAAACTGTGGGGATACGTTGAGCTTTTTGTCACCTTCAGGGAAGAGACTGCCTCCCAACAGATCAAGGTGCGGTTTTTAGTGATCGACTTCCCCTATCTCTACAACTGCATTCTAGGGAGACCGACATTGGACAAATTGACCATTGTTCCCTCCACTGTCCATTTGAAGATGAAATTCTACACCCGGAGGGGACGCGTCGCCACCATCCACGGGGATATCTTAACTACCAGAAGATGTTTTCACGCAACTTCCAAGGGGAAGAACATAGTCGACACTGGAGCGCGACCCACCAAAAGAGCTACCACTACTCGACCTGAATCGCAACCTGCTCGGACAGAAGAACAAACGGCTCCACCAAAGGTCGACTCTATCTCGCTCGACACCCGCTTTGACAAGGATGAAGTCAAAGCCCCCAACAGCGAACATGAACTTCTTTGACCCATTATAGACAGAGACTTCAAGTTCATCCCCCTCGGTGAAAACCCTCACAAGAGCGTGAAGATCAGAACTGGACTCTCTGACTTGGTGAGGAGGCAACTCAAAGCTTGTTTGAGGGAGAATACATACCTATTTGCATGGAGCACCGTGGAGATGCCTGGAATCGACCCCGAGGTCGCCTGTCACCGACTCGCCAATTATCCAGCCGCTAGGACACTAGTGCAACGTAGACGTAGGCAGTCTCCCGAGAAAGTGGAAGTCGCTGAAAATGCTGTAAAAGACCTCCTATAGCCAAATTTTATTTGAGGCCCAGTATTCAACCTGGCTCTTAAATGTTGTACTTGTGAAAAATAATAATGGAAAATGGAGAATGTATGTTGATTATACTGGTCTTAATCGAGCATGTCCCAAAGATGTTTTTCCTTTACCTAACATTGATATGATGGTCGACAACTTGGTCGACTATAAAATTTTATCGTTTATGGACGCCTATTCGGGCTATAACATAATTTCGATGGCGATGAGCGACGAGCATTGTACCACCTTCATG